GTGGCGTATCTGACGTTCGAGTTGGGCTGGACGTACCGAGTGCAGCTCGCCAAGCTGTTCCCCGCCTTGGCCCACGCATATCGCGACTTTCGCGTGGGCTGATACGATTCTGGGTCTGCTGGACGTGAGTTCGGGGCTCGAGGGTCTCTCTCCGATGCAGCTCATGACGGCATACCCGCTGGAAAGCGACCGGAAGCCAGTCGTCTTCTCCGCCGTGGTCGCCATCTGCAGCCCCATCGTGTTCATGCTCGCGTACATTATCGGTCGGAAGTCGACTCGGTACACCAGCGTGCCAGTCGTAGCGACCGGAGACCACGTTACAATGACAGCTCGTCGACGGTCCAGCGCCTACAGGGAAGGCTTGCAGCAGAACGGCCTCACGTCCTTCGAAGTGGCTACAGGAGCGGCTCTGACCAACCGCTTTGGCGTCATCTCGAGCTACGACAACTACGCGGTGCACGACAACCAGCTCATCGCGACGATCGACGCGGTCTACTGCAACGGCTTCCTCGTGGTCAACGGCAAGTTCCTCATCGGCGCGCAGGATCTGCTGCCCTTGATCGTCATGAAGCTCACTCGAGTGCGCTTCACCAACATCTTCGTGCACGAAATGGACAAGAACACGGTGAAGGAGACGTCGATGCTCGTGTACCCGACGACGATTGCGTGGAGCGATCTGCTGCATCTGAATGTCACCGCGCTTTCTTAGACTGGTGAGTATAGAGAAAGAGTAGAGGACACTAGTCAGCAGTAACTGAGTAGGTAGGATAGTTATATTAAGTAGTTCTTCGTTTAAATGAAATGGAATTCTTCAGCATGGCTGTGGGAATTTGAATCAAAGTTACTGTGATCTGGAAATACAGATATGCTGTGAGGTTCAACCTCATTGTTATTTTGGAAGGCACGACGAGAAGCATTTCATCCAGCCAGGTTCATATTTTGGATACTGTGGACCCGTATCCAGCTCGTCTGAGCTTAGGTAGCTGGAGAGAACAGTCGGGCAAACTGGAGGGAGTACAAGTTCAACGCGGCATGGAATCAAGTTTTGAAGTCATTTGCTATTTGATGGTTCACCAACATTGAGTTAGCGGAGTTTGACAGCAAAAGCCCCATGATCTTTGGTGTGGCCACGTCTGGGTTGTCGAGCCCCACGACGGCACTGGACCAGTTATGGCGCCTTGACGGCGAAGGCCCCGAGAATCCTTTTGGGAAGTACCAGGCGTACACGATGGCGTACAGATCGTTGTGCCACGCCGCGCGCCCGTAAACCTGGGACCCGAATGGAGAACCTTCACACCCTGGAGATCCTCCGCTCCCCTTAAGACCTCCACTGGTCTCACCGGCCTCATTCACTGCCGGGTATGACGCACACCCCTCGCGGATGGACATCCGTGGCTTGAACTTGACGCCAGCCTTCTCTGCTATCGTGACGGGCTCAGGCTGAGCGTGCGGCTTGACTTTGTCGTGGTCGATTGAAATGCCGTCGACAGCAAGGAAGGTGGCCGTGAATACGACAACAAGCATTCGGAAGTGCATGGTCAGGTAAAGTTCACTTGTGTCTCACTTGGAATTTTCAGGAGTGAATTTGTTTGTTTTTTAGGCTCGGGTTTCCTTTTTCTTCTGTGTGGGAAACGGAAGATGCCAACTAGACTCAACGGTCAAGGTAATATCCGCAATCAAAATCCGATGATCGCGTTAGATCGTCAATAACGTCAATACCGCCCCGCTATCCAGGAAACCACATTTTTTTCGCACTCGAGTATGGGTTATCATTATTACAGGTCATGAACGGATCTGGTCACGCCCTTTGGACACGCGACTTACAATAGTGTAAAGGGTGAGAAACTACTCGAGCACACTCTCCATTGATGAAGGATCACTTCAAGGAAAGTCACACCCTTATGAGATCTAAATAGCTGTCCTAAAGCTCCTAAGCCTGGGTTGAGCCAAATTGAGGGCTTCTACACCGAAATGGACAAAAAAACATGTACAGTACTGTAAAATAAAGAATTGATGATACTCCATACCATGAAATATCGGACTATAGGGATCTATCGGACCTGTACCAAAAACATGGTACCCTAGAAGGATGGACTCTACTAGGGCTCCGCGAAGGCTGGGATAGGAGTTTTTTGGTATAATCGCTTTCTATTATTATGAGTTTTTTTTTTTACGAACCACGGGCATCTCCTGCGCTTGCTTCGCAGCCGCAGCGTCTGCCCGGTAATTCACCTCAAAACTGTAGATACATGATATGCCTTGGCGGTGCTTATACACAGTGATAAAACGAACCTTGCTCGAGATCTGTTTGTAGTTTGTAGAAAATGAAAATGTTTACCTTTGTATGCGGTTCGCCCGCTTCAATCATTCACTTTACTTCACTCCTACTATTCGATATATGTTACTGACTCATACCGGTTCAATCTGCCCACGCATATACATGTAAACCTTTAGGAGGGCCCAGTGCGGCACCGGGGTCACACCGGTTTCAGGACAATGTACCGGTTAGGTGTCAAGAGGGTTCACCTTTTGACTTGATAGCGAAAATAAAACAGAACAGATATACGCACAGCGCACACGACTTAGGCGCGCCGCACTTGCGGTGCACCAGTCGTCCACGCTGTACGTATTGTATTATAAACATCCACAACTACCAGATAAGCAGCTTCTTAGTGCAATAACCCACTTGCGATAATATCAATTTACTTTCTTAAGCTTACCTCCGCGCTGTTAATAATCAAATACAAGCAAGCTCTTAGCTGCAACAGCGGCTGTAACTTCGGCCTGGTGTTGCGTCTTCGGGTCGGGCGTGAGAATGGGAAATGGTTCGAATGAAACTTGATGATGCGATTGATGCTTCCTCACCGATAGAGACCGACTAGATAATTATTTAGGTGACCTATTCAGTTTACTTTCATAAAATTTCAATATATGATGGATACTTAAACAGGTGCAATACACGCACGGCTTCATGCGACACCGATTTAATCCTGTGCCGGCTGCGTAGCAGCATACCTTACGGTACACATGCTATCTCAGAATAATCCTATTTGGTCTGCGATAGCAGCACTAACGTTGCTTCCTATCCCAGTAAAAACAAATATATTAGTAATATATATATATATATATAATACATTTGCAGTGTAATTGTAACGTTGCCTCACATCGGCTGCAGGCACCGATGCATTATCCAAAAGTTGTCGCCACTATTATACTGCGGTCCTGCTGGAGCTCAGAACTACAGTATTTGGTGCAATCATCGGGCCCAAAGTGCTATCATTGAGCGTAAAGACATTTGTCAGGAATGATTCAGCGATAGCGTTATGGCAAATCTAACGCTATAATATTAATAATAACCATCGCCCACAGGACCTTGCGCTGGAGCTGCTGGAACGAACAGGGGGTGAGGACGCATTTATTAACATCAAGTACATGGTCCCAACATACGAAAGCGCGCTGAGCTGACAACAATAGGCAAGGTAACAAAATATTAGCACGGTACATTAGTGGAGGGGCGATGGCTTCATACTCTTCACTTCACTCGTTTGTCTTGATCACATGCTCTCGTCTTCTACTGGTACAGGTACACTCTGTGGCTGCAACTTGTCAAGTTCTGCTTGGTGGCGCTTGTGGATGCGTTGGATTTCGTCCTCGCACTCGCGGACTTGAAGCTCTTCCACGTGGGCACGAAGTTTCTCGCTTTCCTCGGCATATTTGCGCTCGCGTTTCTGCGGTAAATCTACTAAGTAAAGTATAGCTGTGAGTGAGCGCCGGCCGTTTCTGATGCCACATTTTAGACTGGACTCAAGAGGTCATAGTTTTTTGTGAGGGAGGAGCAGCATGAAGCAGGGACGGTCGAAAGCAGGGACGGTCGAGGTTCTTCGTTCTTCGCACCAGCAGCGTTTCGCGACCCCGAGCACTACAAATCGCCCAACAGTATGGGTAGAGTGAAAATGCTCTCATAATTCGTCATCTTACATCATGTAAGTTACATGTGTTTATGGACATAGGGTTCGTCATCGCACCTACTGTTTTCGTCAGATGTCTTATTGCTCACGTGATGCCACGCTATTGATCGCTGAGTTCGTGCTGGTCACGCGACTTACCACTCAATACAACTGAGCGAAGCGCGTCCTAGATGTCGGGATGATAACCCACAAGTTTTCTTCACTGACACCACAGCCATTGTGTTTTTTTTCCCAGCACGAACCGATTCAATTGCTTAATAGTAGTGTATGCAAACGGGTTTTCGCCACGGTCAATGATTGCACACGACCCACTCAGCACGAACGAAGTAACAAGTGTTGCCGGAGTCTGTAGCAACCACGGTGGGTGCAGGTGCTGGGGAGCCACTGGGGACGGCTTCATCTCGCGTCCCAGACGCGTATGTCTTGCGAACGAGCCGATCACCTCAGCCATCACCTGCGAGGCTACGGCGGAGAACTCCTTTTTCACCGGATCGATAAAGAGTTTCTACAGGTAAAGCAACATCCAAGTGTGGTGTCAAATAACAGCAGTGTATCGGCAACTCTGGGCCAGGAATCGTCACCTTAATACGGTCGTCGAACCGGATGATAGCCTGGAACAGGTTCACGTTCTCGGAAGCAGAGCTGTCTTCGATCAGCTTGCTGTAAATAAGCGCCAGGATGTCGCACAGCGACAGCAACACCTCTCGGTAGTCCAGCGGGAAAGGCTACAAGTACACAAGAGCACGCGCCGTATTAGCGCCACAGCAGCCCCACATAAGCGTGAAACGAGCAAGCCACATACAATTGGAGGCGTCATGAGACGGCGATATACACGCCAAAATGGATTCAACGCCAGGCTGACGCGGCGTCGCCCGCTGTAGCAGCAGCGGACGCGTCCGCGCTGAGCGAGCAGGAGGTGCTGGCGCCGCTGCCTCCGCCGCCCTCTGCGCTGCCGGACTACCCTACTCGCCGTGACGATGCCGAAGCCAAGGGCGACAAATCGGAGGCCAGCGTTGGGGACGACGACGGCAGCAGCAACACTAGTAACCGCCGCAGCTCTTCGTCGTCCAATCTGCCGTCCAAGGCCTCGTCCGCGGCGCGTCCAAGCTGGCGAAAAGCGGGCGTAAAGTTCTGTCGCCTTTAGCCAAGAGCCCCAGCAGCGTCACCTCCAAGACATCGGAGCCCGACACTTCCTCACCCAGCGGCGCGGCCGCGGACGCATCCATGGCCGACCCCTTGGCGTCCGTTGCGTCGCTCACCTCGGGGCTCACGTCGTCACTGGCCAGCGCGTCGTCGTCCTTCGGCTCGCTGCTCTTCTCGTCGCAGAGCTCCAGTGTCAGCCAAGCCGGAGACGAGGCCGAGGACCGCGCCAGCAACGCGGCCGATCGAGCCGCTGCAGAGGTGGCGGCAGCTGCGGCGGCGGCCCAGGAGGCGGCGATACTGCGCCAGGTGATGGCCCAGCAGCGGATGCGCATCCTGGAGGACCTGGTGCAGCACCGGCGCTCGGACTGGAACTACCTCAAGGCCATGCACGTAGGACCCAACTACTGGCTCAACGTGGGAGCAGCAGGTGATGAACCATCTCGGAGACAAGCAGAGCATCCGGCGGGGCGCGCAGTTCTTCTACCTCGGTATTGGACTCGGCAGGCTCGTGGGGGAGTCGCTGCACCCGGAGCTGCTGGCCTTGGACTGCTGCCAGCTGCTGGAGGAGCTCGAGTTTTACTTCTCGTCGTCGACGATGCAGGGAATGGTAAGGGAATTGATAGTGGCGAGTTGTGAGGGTGGGAAGGAGAGAGCTGACGACCACAGCTTGGTGTGTATTGCTGGCAGAAAATGATGGTGGCGACGTCAAGTACGCAGCATGAGCCGCTGGACCAGGAGAACAGTCCGCAGTACTCGGCCGACGAGCCGTTCCGACCCGGAACCAGCGTCGATGATCTCAGTCGCGACATAAAAGTAGGACAACTTTTCGTCGTTTTATAACGCCTCTAACTACATGACACATGCTAACGCCTATAACGCCCGGCAAGCTTCTTCACGTCGAGGCGGCCTGCGGCCCGAGCGACTATGGGGCGCATTGCGCGGCTGGAGCTCGAGAACTTCAAGTCGTACGGCGGCGCGCACGTGGTGGGGCCCTTCCAGCGCTTCACGGCGCTGGTGGGGCCCAACGGCAGCGGCAAGAGCAACCTCATAGACGCCATCTCGTTCGTGCTGGGCGTGCACTCGCGCCATTTGCGCTCGACGCAGCTCAAGCACTGATCCACAAGGCCCCAAGTGACGACGACACAACCAGCGCCCGCGCCGCCGCCGTCACGCTCGTCTACGAGCTGGCGGACGGCGAGGCGCCTCCCTCCGCCTCGTGCGCGGCCCAGCAGCAGACGTCACAGTCACCGTCGTCTCAAAACTTTTGAGTCAAAAGAAGGTGCGGTTCACGCGCCTCATCTCGGAGAAAGGTGTGGGCTCGTACCGCATCGACGCGCGCGACGTCAGCGC